ATTTACCATTTTAGACTGCATGTTCCTTCCAAGTCCAGTGGGTGTCAGTGTTACAATGTGAATGCACCAACATCAGTTGCACCAGATCAAAAGGAATACCAGTTGCAGTTAGTGCTGAATGATGTAAACCAGAAAAGTGATGCAAAATAATGAAGCCATTTCAAAATGTTTCAATTAACTTAAAATGCAATTTCGAACATACCCACTACAGTGTTTCTATTTGAAATAACAAGAGCTTGACAGTTGTTGTTTTTTTTTCCAAAACGCTGAGCTGTGCTTGAGGTCCATCCGCCTAGGAAAACTGAAAATTGGTGCAGCGCACAGTGATTAGGCATGATTGGCGTGTAGCTACTAATTACTGCTTGTTATGAAGTGTGCAGGAGTGAAAACTCACAGAAGCATGAAAGATGAGTTTGACCACAGGCAGGGGCTTACCCATCTCTCAGAAGCTGACTGACTCCCACACAGCATCTCTCTTTTTACTGGAGTATTCATTTCACTGTCTCACCCACTGTGTCTGCTGCTCCCTCTTCCTCTCCCTTTTCTCCTCTTTTCACTCCTTTTCTGCTGCCGATCTTGAGCTTCCACTGCTTTCTTACTCATTTAGGGGACTCTTGCCTACAAATCCCCTTTTGTTTTTACCTCCTCTCTTCTCTTTTAGCTCGGCTCTCTGTTTTCCCTTTCTCTGCCACTCTTTCAGTTCTCACATAGAGGAATGCAGCATGAGGCGGGCTGTTTGGCTCTTCACACTTGCGACTCTGCTTCGAGGTGAGTGGCTTTAAGTGGGACCATGCTTGAAGAAGAGTTTTCTGATTGTGTTTTTGTATGATTTGATTTTTTGCATGTCAGAATGTATATTTTAGCAACTTTATTCACAGCTCTTGAAAACAATGTCCTGTTTAAAGCCACACACACACAAAGAAGATAGATTTATTTGTTTTACGAGCTGCAACAGCAGCACTCTTATATGTAATCCTCTTTACTGCGGAGTACACAGGGATGGATAGATAAAGTTCAATTATCAAAGCTTCATAAATAATTTGACTCCTCAGTTTGTGTTTAATCAGCACCCAGAGGCCCCTGTAACCAACTCTGGGATTTACATTAATGAATGCACATCAAGCAGATGAAGGCTAAAATAAGGTAAAGATTTTCCATGTGGCCATTTCCTCAGTTCCTAATATAATTAAAAGATATCAGTTAATGAGAAGCAGTAAGGTCAAGATTAGGCTCATGATATATTTTCTGAGGAAACTGCAATAGAATTGCTTGAAAAACCTCAATCAGGACCTTCATTATACAGCAAGCAAGACTAGGTTTTGCTGAAAGTCAGGCTCCAGTGGTGCACTGTTCTGCTGCACGAGTGCAAGCTTTTCTGCGTCCTCGCCACACATTTTAGCCTCGGTCATCTGAGTAGGCCTGGTGCACTTAAGGAACATGCTCTTTGGATTGATGAAGTCGAGACTGAACGTGCTAGACCTGTTGAGCAAGAAGAAGTGCAGAAGTTGAACACAAGAAACTCTACCTGTTGATAATGGAGGTTGGAGATTGCTTGAAACAGATTTATGTTCTGAAGAACTGGTTCAGTTTGAAACACAAGCAGATCTTGGAATCATTAAAAATCTGCCTGCAGATGAAAAAAAAAAAGTTATTTTACAGCAGGATGAAAAGCCTAAACACACCCAGAAGTCCCAATATACAGCGCCTCGACGCTTGCCACCTTTGGCATCTCTTGGTCATTTCTCCTAAACAGACCTCAGACAGTCAGAGCAGTCAAGAATACACAAATGAGTTCGGATTTATTGAGGAAAGCCTGCAGAAATGTTTTTGAAACAATTTCAGTTGAAACATATGAAAACTGAGTGTATTCCAGCATTTCTGGGGAATATAACCAATCAAATCTGAAATTTGTAGTTGTCTTTTATCATTTTAGAACAGATTCAATTTTAAATTTCTGCTTAAAAGTCTTCTTTTCATTGCTATGCTGGTCCAGTTCCAGCTCATTCATTTACCAGCACAGACACACAGCCTCATGTTGGTCAGTCACGTGACTCGAGCTTCCATGTATCGTGACGGGTGGAGAGTTGAACCCAGGGTGCAGACCGACACCGAGGAAGTCGAGGGGAAAATAAACAGAACTGATTTGTTGAACAAAACACAGAATCGAAGGCTGGCGTGGCAACAAAACGTACAGCAAGTGGTTTTCACTGGGAGACACCGAGGAACAGACCATGACGGCTGCGGAAAGCACAATCCACCAACGGGGAAGAAACGCAACACACTGACGCTGAACGTGGGACACCAGGAAGGCTGAACAGACAAGAAAACAGAACTTAAACACAAAGATCTTTATATACAGGGAATAAAACTAAACTCTAAATAACTAAGAGAAAACACAGACACAGATTCGGTTGAGTGCTTTGTTTACAATGAGTGCGTACCCTCATTTCAGAACTGCACTTGAATAAACAACTGGAAAACAACCGGAGTAAACTCTTTCTAACCGCCCTGTTTGATATAGTTCAGGATGACCTTTTTCGTGTTTGATTTCATAGTTTACAATGAGTACCTTGATTCTTGGTGCCCTAAATTAGCTTGAAACTCAACTTTTTTTTTGTTTGTTATTTAGCAACTTTCAAATGGAAGCAAAGAAGTAATCTGACTTTAAAGGTCATCAAAACTTGATCTTTAAATTCTCAGCTTGTTCGTGTTCGTCATCTTGGCCTTTTTTCACAAGAACGTGAGTTTGCAGGTGCTCAAACTTCTGCGCGTCGCTGCCCACAAATATGCAAAGTAAAATAAAGTGATCATTACGATGGTAAATTACCTCCAGCTGGACATTATGCTCACTGAGAGGCCAGTAATCTGAATTAACGACGCATCATCCGCAGAGTCACACGGATATTATTTAAGATCTGTTGAACACAGATTTGACATCAGTGCATTAATCACGGACTTGTTACTGAAACACAACTGGTGTGAAGTTTCAAGCATCTGTCGGCTACAGAACGGGCACTGTGTGCACGTACTTGTATTATTGAACATATTTCCTCTTACGCCCACCTCTGTGGAGCCTCTAAATGGACAGAGAATGCGTTATAAAGAATGAATCGACAATGACTCGAAGCCCCCGGTGAAGTTCTTAGAGGCAAAGAGAGAAATTTACCAAAGCTCTCGTAGATGTGAGTTCTGTGTGTGTGTCTGTCCGGGGTGTCTCCGTGTTTAATGGCCTCACTATTTCCTGCACAAAATGAAGAAGACATTTTTACAGCAGAGGAAAGCCTGTGAGTGGGCGATTAATCAGAGGACTAATTGATTAAGAAGAGCAGCAGTCTTGCTGTTCATTCCTCTTTTTATTTTTTATTTTTTGCCTGTGCTCTTTTTCAGGATATTTATTTTATGCTTCTTATCGAACATGTGTCCTTCACAGAATTACATTTCTTGGTGGTTCTCTTTTGGATAATAAAGTGGCCCTTCTTCTTGTTTATGATTTATAATCTCTGTGCAATGGAATCATAACCTTTTCTTCAAGATGCTTCACCTTTTGTCACTTTTTCTCTTCCCCCCATTACCCCCCCCCCCCACACACACACACACACACACACTCAGAATCAGTGCAGGGGCCACACCAGCGCTTCCTTCTCAAGGAGCTGTTGAGGGACTACAACCCCATGGAGCGACCCGTGGCCAACGACTCCCACGCTCTCACAGTCCAGTTCTCCTTCATTCTGATTCAAGTCATGGATGTGGTACGACTTTTAGACACTTGCTGACCACAGCTTTAGTCACTATTTTCCTGCTACAAAGTAACACTTTATAATAAGGAAGACAAAAGTTGATAAACTACTAGGGAACGACTCTGGAACGAATCGGGAACAAATCAGGAGCTAATGGGTAGTTAACCAGTACTTACTGGGGAACACACAGCCAAGCCTTATTAGGGGACTACTGGTTTGCTACCACGGAAACAGAGGATACATTTTCCATTTAGTTTCTGAATAAACCCTGCACCAGTGAGGTCACAGCTCGTAATGGTCAAAAACCTGTTTCCTAGTGATTATTGATTTTATTGGATTCTTACCACTGATTAGCAATTTCATAATCTTGTACTGTTGTCATCTTAACTAGAGATGCAGCATGATATTGGATTTTTGGCCGATATCCGATATGCCGATATGTTAAAGCTTATTCGGCCAATAACCGATACCGATATTTGTTTTCCTAGACCTACTTATAGAGACTACATAGCTTTCTCTGCTGTGGAATTAAAATACTACAATATTCTGCATGGTCTTTGTCAGTTTGGCCTGCTACCAAATTCAGATGCCAAAAAGGGGCTGAAAATGATGTAACACTAACTTTATCGCTAATATTGACCGATACCGATACCATGCCGATAATATTGTGCATCCCTAATCTTAACTATGTCTGACTATCACTTTCTCAGTACTCAGGTCTCTCTTGTAAATGAGTCCCGTAGGCTCAGTGGGATTAACCTGTATAAATAAAGGTTGAAAGAAACTTACTGAGTACCAAATCATTGTCTGGCTATTATTTTATTGATAACATTTTACAATAAGGTACACAAAATTTCCCAGTAAGTACTGGTTAACTACCCATTAGCTCCTGATTTGTTCCTGATTCAGTCCTGAGGCGTTCCCTAATAGTTAATCAAATTTTGTGCGTCTCGTTGTAGAGTGTTACCTCCTTCACAATGACAAAGAGAGAAAAAAGAAACTAAAGTCCTTGCATTCTTGAAGAAATCACCCGCCACCTTTTATGTCAGAACTTTAAGATCCTCTTATGCTGAGAAGGGACAGAGTTGTAGCTGCTTTGCTCAAACCTAACAAATGATGTTACTCTCCGTCTCATGGAATATTGGTCTGCAGCCAACTACTACTTCCTGAAAGTTTCATTAGAATCTGTAAAGTAGTTCATGAGATATTTTGCTAACAAACAGACAGTGACACCAACAGTTAATGCCAACGCTTTAATCAAATACCATGCAATAAGTAGTGCTCACATGTTTGGAAAGACTCCTAACAAACACTACACTAAATCTTAGCTAAATATCTACTATACAGCTACTTTTGTGTTGTTTTTTTTAATCTGTTGACTGTGGCGGCCATCTTGAATTGGGTTAACTGCGAAAGTAAAACAGTTGTGGACATCTCTACCAACCAAATTATTTTGAAATTACAAGTAATCCTACAGATGAACATTCCTCAGAACATGGTTTACTCATACATTTTTTTAAAAAGTGATCTTTTTCTACTTTTAAGACTCAAATCTGACGCTGTATTCAGACAGAAAATAGGAGAAATAGTTCCCGAACCTTCCAGTGACCTTTAATTGGAAAGGATGGGCAGAAAGGACAATTACAGCAGCCAGTGTCTAATCAAGCTTTTTTTATTTTATTTTATAAAGACAGCATTGAAATAGTACAAATTATCCTTTGAATCACAAAATCATTTATTATCTCATTCACTTCATGTCTTGTAAGGATGAAAAGAACCAGATTCTGACCACGAACGCCTGGCTGCAGATGGTGAGTATAATAGATAGTATTAATAATGTGGTATTGATCTGCGTAGTGGAAAGCTTTTTGCCGTATTATATTATGCACAGAATCATCCCAGAGGCTGCTGCGTTTCATTATCATAGTAATGGGTGGCTCCGCAGGATGACAGCTTCTTCCTTCCACCCCAAGCATCATCTTTTAATGAGCATCAGGAGAGGAGGATGAAAATGTGTCTACTTCATTTTTGCTGCCAAAAACCACAAATTACAATTTATGTACCAGAGAAATTCATCTTAGAAGTCCAATGAAAAACTTTGAACGGTGTTTCTGTGGGACCTTGAAACATTTACAACATGATCAGGTGCTTGCGTGTAATAAGAACCTCAGATAAGATCACATGTAAAAAGGTGTTAAATTTGTGTGGTTTTATTGTAAGAGATTAGATATTTTGCTAACAGATACTCCAAAAGGTTAATGACGAAGTTTTGGAGAAAAAATATGAGCAAACAGTTGCTGTGCTCAGAGTTTGTGCTGGGAATGACTCTCATCTACTACCATACCAGATGTTTGCGCAATATCTTTAACAAAAACTGAGTTATAGATATTTTTTTCTTTCTTAAAGATAATTAGTTGTGGCGGCCATCTTGAACTGAATTGACTCCAAAAAGAAAAGAGTTGTAGATGGATATCAAGTGACTACTTTCTGAGAGATTCACTAAAGTCCGCCCAGTGGTTCATGAGACATTTTGCTAACAGACAAAGTTGGCTCCAATAGTTTTTGGCAAAGTTTTGACAGATAATTTTGTTAGTGTTCAAAACACAGTGTGAACTCTCAGCTACCACCATATCAGATTTTAACAAAATATTTGTAAAACTGACTGAGTTATAACCATATTTATGTTTTATGAGTTTGATTAGGTTTGGTGGCCATTTTGAATTGGATTGACTCCAGAAGTTAATAAGCTGTAGAGTGATTATTTATTTAAAGTTTTAGTAAAATATGTCATGTAGTTCATTAAATATTTTGCTAACAGACAAACAAACAGAGGTTTAAGTCAGGACTATTCAACTGGTGGCCCGGGGGCCAAATCAGGCCCACGGGTGAACTCAGTTCGGCCCACCAATGGGTTGATTTTTAGATAAAACTCGATTTTAAACCATAAAATAAACTTACTTAATGACAATAACTGCTGGATGTCCGGCCCCTGAGCTCTTTGCTTAACTGTGCCCCCCTGAGCAGTTTAGTTGAATAGCCCTGATTTACGTTACTGGCCACCTTTCATGGTGGCAGATGGTAACAAAGAATGACTGAAGACTTATGCACAGTGCTGAACAAGTAGCAATCATAAAAACAACATCACCAGAAAATGACAAATCAAGATGTGGCGTCTCCTAGCAGTGGCATGACCACTACCTGCAGTGGAACCAGTCAGAGTATCCTGGAGTGAAGAACCTGCGTTTCAGCCCCGACCAGGTTTGGACCCCTGACATATTGTTGTACAACAGGTGCGTGACATGCAGATATTTATACCGTCATCCACGCTGCTCCTTCTGTTCAAACGGTTTCTTTCTGATCGTCCTTCAGCGCTCACGATAAGTTTGACGCCACCTTCAAGACCAACGTGCTGGTCAACTCCAGTGGCTTCTGTGAGTTTCTGCCTCCAGGTACGTTTGCTTCCTCAGCTGGAGTCTTCTGCTCCAAACTTGTTTTAACATTCAGAGGAAACGCTGCCCTGACAAACGCTGCAGTAAATGAAATCTGGAAACTGTTTACAGCCATTTTCCCTCTTACTTCAAACAAAGCTGTAAGCCCCTCTGTCTCAAACTGGGAACATTTACTTGGCTGAAAATTAAACTAACGTGTTTTTTTTTCCGGAAATTTGAAGGAATATTTGTCAGCACATGTAACGTGGACGTGAGATGGTTTCCATTTGACATCCAGCGATGTGAGCTGAAGTTTGGCTCGTGGACTTTTGACGGCTGGCTGATGGACATCCAGATGAAGGAGGCCGACGTGTCAGGGTACATGTCCAATGGAGAGTGGGATCTGATGGGTATGTAGTGTGTGTAGCATTCAGCTCAAACACACTTCATCTGTAAACATACTAAAGGTAACCAGAGAAGATGCATTTTATATGAAAACAAGTGTGAAAGCTGAAACTGATTTGTTCAAGCTAAAAGGAGCAAAACACTAGCTAAAAGCAGAAAAATGTTACCTAAACTCCAAAAGTACCAAAAGCCTCTCTAAAACCAAAAGTAACTAAAGTCAATAAGCTAACAGTAGAAAACCATTAGCAAAAAGTAGCAAAGTCGTAGAAAAATTTTCACTAAAAGTTCAAATAGCAAAATGCTGGCTATAAGCGGAAAGTTGAAAGTACTAGCTAAAAGCTAAAAGTAGAAGAATGGTAGTTAAAAGCTAAGGCAGTAATAGGCTACTGTAGGTAAAAGTAACAAGAGCATAAAGAAGCAAAAAAAAAAAAAAAAAATACAAAAGGCTAGCTCAAAGCTAAAATGTAAAAAGTTAGCTACAAGGAGCTAAAGTCTCAATAGAAGTTAAAAGCAACAAAACAGTAGCTAAAAGTATCAAAAACCTAATTGACTAGTTAAAAGCTAAAAAATGCAAAAGGCTAACTACAAGCTAAAAGTTTTACAAGGCAAGCTTAAAGTAGCAAAAGGCTAGCTAAAAGCTTAAAATTCATTCAGTCTTTATTTATACAGATTAATCACATTGAGCCTCGGAGACTCATTTACAAGTGAGTCCTGTTTTAGACAGACAAACAGACAAAAGTAAGGAAAAGAGAAAACATGGGGAGGGGGGGGGGGGGGGTTAAAAAAATTGTATCTCACACTCTGTCCTGGCCGGGGCACAGTATGAGAGTTGAAAAAAAAAAAAAGACCTCACACATAAACAGCAGACATAATGACGTCATAATACAGTTATACATGAGGCGGCCGGCGAGGGCAGTCCGTGGACGCTGACAGAAAGTTCCATAGTCCTGATAAGATGGTACAGTGTCTATCAGACGGTTCAACTCTGACGCAGATCCACAGATGTCCTCGGGAGGGGAGCGATAGAGGAGGGAGGGGGCAGAGCTTCTCGTTCACATAAACAACCAGAGTGAGATAGTTGGTCAAACAAGACCAAGTGGGGAACCCAAATTCAGATAACACAATTATTTTGGGTCAGGCAGACTCTGCTTGATTTCCATGTCTGCCTTTAAAGTTCTGCTGGTACGTCTCAGTGGCGATTCCAAACAGCCAAATTTTGTGGTCACACTGCCGAACCGAGCTTGTAGCCTTCTCCAAGGTCGATTCCTTCCTGCCAGTGAGTCCCAAGAGCCACACGTGGCCTGCGATTCTCAGAAATCAGCTCACACAGCGTCTGAGAGCTTAACACTCGGTACATTCCTTCATACAAGCCAGGCAGCTTTACCAAGGCCAGAACAGCTGCCAATATTTTCCGCATTTGGCGACAAACCAGGTAACCGCCGACTCCTAAAAGCAGAAATCCTAAATCCAATTATGTACATGTCTTCAACATGCTCAATGGACAATACAGACAGACACATCATCTTCCACTGTCCCCAGGAGTCCATAGTGTATCCTGCTGAGTGTCCCTTCAGGGCACGAGGGCTCTCCTTCGCCCTGTCTTCTCGTCAAATTTTTTTTTTATCAACTGCATTGGGAGACTAGCTGACCAGATCCATAATTTACAATTTGGAGGATATGTAGTGAGAGACTCCGATAGGAATCACAGGACAAAGAGTAAAGCAGGAGGGAGGACAGGAGCAGGGGGGAATGCGTCCGTCCTCGTCGAGAGCAAGCAGAGCAGCAGCTAAAAGGTGAGTTGCAAAAGGCTAGTGAAAATCTAAAAGAAGTACAAGAAGACGAATAGAGCACATACTGTATGCTGGAGCAGATTGTATTTTTTAAAACATGTTTTCATATGAAGTGAAATAAACCTCAGTGTATTTCAATTGGAAAGTATTTGTAAATAATAATTTATTTAAGTGTAAACGTTGCAATTCAATTCAATTTTTCAGTTCAGTTTACTTATATAGCACCCAGTCACAACAGAAGTCATCTCAAAAACAAATGTTACAGCACTCACCTCCGGAGTGAGCAGCTAAAATAGCACCAAGTATGCAGCTGTATTTAGATTGCAAAAATAAAAAAATACAGAAAAACAAAAACAGAACAAAAAGTGCTAAATGCTGGAAGAAACATCCATGCAGCCCTTCATTTCAATAAAGATTGTAACAATAAAATTTAAACTGTCTCATTTTTTTTCTTGAATTGGAAAAAGGTTAACGTCACCACCTTTAAAGTGATCATTTGGATCTTTGAATGATATTCACTAGAAAAAATATCTTACCTGTTGTAAACAGCTTTCTGATTGATCTTGGTTTAGTGTTTAATTCTGATCAGATTGACGAGCTAATGGCTAGTCAGAGCAAGGTTTAAAGTAAATTACTGTCATCCTAAAACAACTCCAGTCTAAAAAAATATATATTCATGTGAGAGTACTTTTAGAAAGTATTCATACCATCTTCTGTTTGCCTCAAACGTTCATTTACAAAGGATTCTGTGATTAGTTACAAGAACAAATCACATCAGCAGCTAGCTGTAGCACATCTGGTGCCACCTAGAACATGTTCAGCTGGAATATTACCATATTTCTTCCAGAGTAACCATGTAATGTGAGCGTGATGATGGTGTAAAGGTTTTTAAAATATTGCTTTCATGAATTGTTTTTGAGAATGGAGTTGTATTAAGTATTAAGACACCAGAAATTTAACTTTGATCTTAGTCCTGGTTAGCCAAGCTATTTGCTCATAAGTTCAGTTAGCATTAATGCTATTTCTTTGAATTTAGGTCATTCAAAGAGCTATCTACAACAGGTAAGATATTCATTATTCAAAACTTTTCCATTTCAAAATACATTTAACCTGATGCTTTTATGGCTTTAATAAATTTCCAGGACTGGGATAAAGATTTTCAACGTTAATATTACAACAATAAATTAGCAACAAATCTCTTTTCTGCATTTTCTTCTTTTTTTTCAGAGGTCCCTGGAGGTCGCCACGAGGTTTTCTACGACTGCTGCGCAGAGCCGTACCCTGACGTTACGTTCGTGGTGACGTTACGACGGAGAACGTTGTTCTACGCTCTCAACCTGCTGATTCCGTGCGTGCTCCTCTCCTCCATGACCCTGCTGGTCTTCCTGCTGCCGGCTAACTCCGGGGAGAAGATCAGCCTCGGTGAGGAATATTAAGAGGAGCAAGCAACGGAGTGACAATAAGAACGAGAGCATTCAACTCATAATATGAAGAACATCTTTGTTCGCACTTCGTTATAAAATAAGTTTCTTTCTGATCCACTTCTTTTGTCAGCATTTTTTTTTTTACTTTAGCGATCTGAGGAGTGAAGACAAAGACCGAGAAGCAAGAAAATCGAATGTGATTTTTAGGAAATATTAGAAAGACAGATAGATGCTTTTGGCGAGAAATCAAACTAAGCAGACAAAAATGATTGTAATTAACTCATGAACCTTCTTTTCTAAAAGTTTCTCATCTTAATTTTTTTTTTTGGCAACCCACGGCTCCCCGATGTCATCCGGCTGCCTTCAGGCATCACTGTTCTGCTGTCTCTAACGGTCTTCATGCTGATGGTTGCAGAGATTATGCCCGCCACTTCCGATTCAGTACCCCTGATTGGTCAGTTTTCTTTTGTGTGCATTGCATATTGATGTTCCTTTTTTAATCTTTTAAGGCATGGTACAAGGATTGTAAAAATGCTGACTGTTGTGCATTGCAGGCCAGTACTTTGCCAGCACCATGGTGATTGTTGGGATGTCAGTGGTGGCCACAGTCATCGTCCTCCAGTTCCATCACCACAGTCTGAACAATGGACACATGCCACGTTGGGTGAGATATACTGTACCATCGAGGGAATAACAGACTCATTTAAACACTATAAGAGACCAAGCACAACATTATTTTTAATAATGTCATCACTTCTCAACATAAGATGATCTTAGTTTAAGCCTCTGGGATGAAGGCATCATTTCTTTAAAAAATGCTGGGCCTTTAATTCGATGTGTGTCTAGAGATGAGATGTTTGAGTCTCCTTTGTTTTTTTTTGTTCCAGTGAAATGTTGTTATATCAAGGCCATATATTACATTTCTTCTTCTTCTTTAAAATGTCAAACAAGTTTATCTTTTTCCCTGTTTGGAAGTGAAATCAACAGAAGTACAGACGTCAAGATCAACACTTTATAATCAAAAGCAAACAGCTTTAGCAAAGTGCTTTTTTGTTCGTTCATTTTAAATCCTCTCATATTGCATTTTATAAAAAAGTGTCACTTATATCTGAGTGAGATGAAAGTTGTAACTCAAAAATATCCATAAGTAACTCATTCAGATGGTTTAATGTTTGATTCCATATGTCTTGATGCATACTCAATAATCCAGGTAGATTAATCTAACGAGGTCAAGTCAGGTCCTCTGGATGGATATTTTGTTGAAGCGCCTTCCTACTGATTTGGTCATTTTAACTTTATTTAAGAAATTCAATACAGGGGCGATTCTAGAATCGGACCTTTAGGGGTGCTAGCTCCCAGTGCTGACAACGTCTCTTGGCTTGAACAACATTATTGTTAGACCTTTATTTATACAGGTTATTTCCAGGGCCAGATTAACACTTCGCTGTACCCTGGGCAACAATCTTCAAGGGCCCCATCATCACGACCCCAGAATCACCATAATCAGGCAAAATCCAGAATAAATTACCATAATATACAGTAAATATACTTAAAATTCTAACTATCAAGTGTATTTTTATGTATAAAAATCCAAATGCTCATAGAACTATAAATGCTGTGTCCTCTTGTTGATGTAAATCATCAAGACTGAGTTAAGTTGAACACACTTTGAACACCATATAACATCATGTGTACTTGTTTAGCAACATGTTGGCCATTGGAGTCAGAAGCATTTGTAATGTGGTGCGGGGGGGGGGGGGGCCGACCCACGGGGGGGGTCGGGGGGTCCTCTCCCAGAAAATTCATTCCTTCTTTTGATGCTGATGCCATTTTACTTTATGTAAATAACTTAAGCTCAGTTTTCTCTGATGCCATAAATATACAAAGTAGTTGTACTTATAGCAAAGTACCACATTCACTAGTAAGAGGAGGGATAATGAGCCCTCCGTCCTGTTTTATGGACAATTTTAAGTCACACTATTCTTCATTAAGTAGATAAAAAAAACTGCAAAACTGCTAGAATCATCTCACAACAAATAAAAACTTATTGTTTTAATTAAAACAATAAGTTTTTCATATAGTCACGCTCCTTTCTTTTTTATTAATTTAATTTTTTATGTTTTTATTTTGTCTTTCATTATTTTGTGAAATGTAATTATGACACCTTTCACAAGTTTGTATTTGTATATTGTTGCATTGTTCTGTTTTGTGTTGTTAATAAAGTTCTTGAAAAAAAAGCTGATGGGCTTGTCAGCAGGTAAGGGGCGTTTACCTTCAGGACAAATTGAGATCATCGATTGGTCAGTTGCTGGCACGCCTACTGGATTGATTGACAGGTGGTGCTGTGGAGGATCCGACTCAGAAAAAAAAAAAAAAAAAAAAAAAATCAGCTGCAGCAGCCTTGGTGGGAGGAGGCGGGGCGGCCCAGTGCAGCAGTGTCTCTGTGCAGCAGGGCTCCAAGTCAAGCAGGAGATAACCAGATATTTTGCTTGTGCACTCACTGCACTGGGCCCCTTAGAGATCGTGGGCCCCTGGGCACTTGCCCAGTTGCCCATATGGTTAATCTGGCCTTGGTTAGTTCCTGTCTGTAAAGTGAGGGGACACAATGGTGGGGGTGGGTGTCTGGGGGTTCTCCCCTAGAAAATTTTGCATAAAGTAGATGTAATTTCCTGCATTTTGGCATATTTTAACAGATTGTTAAACATCTATCTATGTTTACCTACATAAGTAAACACTTGATTCAATAACTATTTTAGAGTTAATGGCACAACAAGAAGTAGCCTGACCAACAGCTCTCCCTGTGTGAATAGAGCACAATTCTGTCCTGCATGCTGCTTGTCATCACATTTTTCAGGGGTGCTGAGTTAAAATTTATGGGTGCTTGGACACACCCAAAAAGAGGCTAAAATTGCCACTGCTTCAGCACCTTATCTACTGTAAACAACAGTTTAGTATTTATTTTAGTTCAGATGCTCATGAAAAAAATTTCATCGGGGAGTCAAGCTAATGTCAACTCAGGACAGAGTGGAATAAACCAGCAAATCTCTGCCTTCAACATTAATTCAAGCTAAAAAATCTCATATTTGATCTAATATTGAATATTTTTATACCTCTTTACTTGAAACTCTTGCTGACTAGGGCATTATTATCTCTTATACCCAACATCTATGTTGCTACACACATAAAGCATTAATGTATCCTGCTGATCAGATTAGCTCTTTGTCTTTCTAACATTTTTGCTTTTGTATAATCTGGCTCATGCAAATTTCCTCACTTCAAATGAGGAGTCACTGCTAATCTATGGAAGCATACACAAGTAGTTTCTGTGCTAGCAACACAGATGTTGCTCAGAAAATAAAATAATGACAAAGTTAACGACTGTCTCGTGCAAAAAGGAATGATGTTGAAAGTATTGAGTTTCTTATCTATGAGGAATTGTTTTGCCCCTTCTTGTTTTAGATGGCAAAAATGAACTCAAAGCAGCTCTTAGATGACATGAAACTGTGTCCTCCCCAGTCTGACATCACTCTGACTGCCTTCTACTGCAGATAAAATGCTGACTACTCAAGAGTACTCCACACAACCCCACTTAAAATAAAATCTGAACTATTCCTTCAGCTGTTCACCACTGCAGAAACATCTGTGTGTCACTTTCAGTTGCGATTTGGCTTCATGTGCTTTATGGATTTTCAAATTCTCTCTGATCCATCAGGTGCACTTGGTTCTGCTGCAGTGGGTTCCTTGGTTTCTGCGTATGAAGCGTCCAGGCGAGGGAGCGGAGCCAAATCTCTCAAACTGCCAAGCAGACTCTCGCAGCAAGACGTTGTCCTCTCCTACCACCACAACCACCACCACCATCCCCACTCCAGCCCCATCTGTCCTCCCACAGAGCCTCAACTCTCTGCAGGCGAGCCTGGCCCAGCTCAGCCACCCACTCCGACCAAATTTCCACACCAATACCCTTCCTAACACGAGCCACAGAGACCCCAACCCCAATCCACACCTGCAGCCTAATGGCCACCTGCCTTACATGGGCTTTCAGACCTTCCAGACCACTGCAGAACTGGAACCAGCCCAGAGGTGCAGAACCACCAGCCATGGGAGGAACACCAGAGGAGAGGGAGAGGAAGGGGCAGCAGTGGGAGGAACAAGTGGAGATTTACCAGCACAACAACACCTCCAACCTTCAAAGTTTGGGATGCCCCCATTGGAAACTCTTGCATCCCCTGACCCTGATCCCTCCACTGCAGCCCCCTGTGGTGTAGAGCCGGAGGGAGGGAGATCAGCACCTCTGCACGCCCAGAGCGGGCTCATTCGATCTGTAGCAGTGGACAACCAGCTGCAGGCTCTCCTGGTGGAGGTGCAGTTCTTGGTGGAGCGTGTTCGCGAGCAGGACCGTCAGCTGAGCGTGGCGGAGCAGTGGCAGTTCGCTGCAGCCGTCATCGACCGCCTGTGCCTGGTTGGGTTCAGCGTCTTCAACATCATCTGCACCATCGCTATCCTCATGGCTGCACCCAACTTTGGAGTGGCCCTGTCCAAAGACTTCCTCTGAAAGGTTTTAGAAAGAGGTGGTGGCATTAAATCTGATGGAAGCACAACAATTGTCACTTTAAAAGCTGAAACTGTAGACGACAAATCTGGAACTTTACACTTTCTGATATTTACTCATGCTCCCATTTATCCTCCTGCTCTCACTGATGTTTGTGAAGGATCTTAATTTATTTAGAAAACTTATATAAAGTAGTTTTTAGGGTAGAGTCTCACAGAAAGTTGATGTGTAATTTACATCTATAAAAATGTGAGTTCACTCAATTTGTTAGGGAGGATGCTCAACTGAGAGCAATTCAGGATTTCATTAAAACTGCATTTTTGCTCATCTTGTTTATCTGGAATTCACCTATAAATCTTTAATTATACTGATTTCTGAACAATGGTCCGTCAGTTTTCTCACAACTTGTTTCATTTATTATGGGCCATATTTTAGTTGCTGTTTTTGAGTCACATCTGTGATTTGAACTCAGGATATTGAGTTTAATCACTTTTCTTTTGAACTTTTATAAAAAAAATTCAACTACCAGTCATTTTTCATAAAAAATAATGTAAAAAAAAAACAAAAAAAACAAGCATAAACAACAAATGAAGATGCAGATAATCCAGGACTAACAGTAATGCTGAGTTAAAGTTCTGTTATTTATATACAAAATAAAGATGAGGGTTAGAGTTTATAAATGTATCTTTTTAAAATTATGAACAATAAATATCTAACCTGTTCCGGACAGTTCTTGAAATAACCTCAATTTGAAGAAATACAGTTGTTTGCTGCATTTATGTCAGAAGTTGAATTAACGTCATTCCTGACTTTACCGTGTTCCAGCTGCAACTCAGAAAACCAGTACGGTTAGCAACTGGCTGTGCTCAGTGACCAGACTAACTACTGTTATCAGTACAAGCTGGTGATGTTGGATGTTTTTGTATTCTGTGCATTAAACAAACGGCTCCAGGTGACACTAATAGTGGTTGGGAAGTGCTACATGTGTGACTCGATTACTGAGATGTAAACAGTCAAAAGTTAAAATTAAAATTTATTACTGCAGCTAACGCAGCTTTTCATGTGCGAGTCAGCCATATTGGATTTTTGAATCTCCCACTTTCGGAGTCAAAATTCTGATGTTGAAGGGCACTCCAGTTGATTTTTATCATTTGAAACTAATAAACTCTTCTGAGAACAAATGGATCGCAGCAGAATTCAGACCGGCTAGCTAACGGCTAACAGCTAGTCTGAGCTAACACCAAAATGGTTTGCTGCCAACTTAAAACAACTTCAAAACTTTCATTTCAATTCATATAAAAGTAATTTAACAAACCTTTTCACTGCAACCAATTTTGTGTTAAACAGTGTTTCAAATTTAGTGATATTTCAGATGAAAGTGTTACAGCTAGCTACTACTAGCTTACAACAATTACAGACTGTGATGTAAATATTCATCTAAACTTCCTACGATATACTATATATATATATATATATATATATATATATAT